GTTGTCGAGCTCAACACCAGTGCGGGGGTCAGGACGGCGCATGGAGCTCGTGGCGGCGTGGAGGTCGGCGGCAGCGCATGGAGCTCGCAGCGGCGTGGAGGTCCGGCACGGCCATCTCGCCGGCGGATGGAGCGCAACCGCGGCAGGAGATGCGACTCTGGGTGGGAGCTCACGGCGGCGCATGGAGCTCGTGGCGGCGCGGAGGTCTAGCACGGGCATCTCGTCGGCGGGGTGGAGCACAGCCATGGCAGGAGGCGCGCGACTCAAGCGGGGGCACACGGTGGGCGACGCGGGGCGGGCAGTCCGGTCTGTCCGTCAGGATGGACGTCCTGTAGGGAGCATTTCCGTTCTCATATACATCAATATTGTTTGCTACATATGAACCATGTAGATGCATGCACCTTGCTGAGAGCTTTATTCATTCCATCATGCCCTATTCTTGTTCACTATTATGTTCTTATAATTCATGGATGTTGTATAGAGGCTGGAATTTGATAATCCTTCACCTACATATCATTCCCGTTTTGATGAAAGTAATCAGCCTATGACCCTATGTAGAAGTCTATCATGTCAAAGACGGGAATTTGAGCAAAAATCATAGTGACTTTAGATGGTATGGGTCGATTAGCTAGTACCAGCAAGTTTACGCAAGCATACTCAGATAATAAAGCTAAAGTGAAGTCATGTTTTGCCAGGGGCAAGATATTAGTGAGACTAACAACTTTGAAAAACAAAAACATCCTATGTCAAAACTGGAATATCTGATCTGCAGACTAGAAACTCCGATCAAAAGAGCGGGTTGAAGAACAAGGTGCAGTGCAGGCTATCCCTTGCTGAGATTTATCTAATTATATATAAGAAGCAAATAGCCATGCAAAACAAACAACTATATAAGACTACAAAGAATCAAACAAGTTGAAGGATCGAGATGGTGGACTAGAGGGGGAAGAATAATCCTTTTTAAAACTTAATCACGCCAGCTAACCAAAATAAATGTGAAATTAAACTAATCGGTCCAGCCAAGACTACAGCCCCTTTTTCTATCACACAAGCACCTTACAAAAGATCCTAGATAAGCAACTAAGGTGCCGAGCTAGAGGGAGCTCACTTAAATAATTCGAGTCAGCAAGGTCACACAAACCTATGCAACTAGGCAAGCGAGCACGAGAGGTCTTCTACTCAAACTAGTGTTTAAAGCGCACAGAGCGAGCCTAAGCAACACTAGCACAACTCACTAATTCACTAAACAAGCATAACTAGAGAGCTACCGCTACTTAGCTACACAAACTAAGTAAGGCAACTTAGCTACACAAGATAAGAGTCCAACTAGCAAGCTACGCAAGAAAACTAGTTACTAGAGCAACTAATTAACTACACAAGTTGACTAGCTACGCAAGAGCAACAACACTAGCACTAGTAAAAGGACAAGTAATACAAGCTAGTGTAAGAAACTGCAAACCAATAGGAAGAAGTGACATGGACAAGTAATACAAGCTAGTGTAAGAAATTGCAAACCAACAGGAAGAAGTGACATGGTGACTTTTATCCCAAGGTTCAGTAATTTGCTAATCACTTAATCACCATTGAGGCAAGCCCAAGGTTGCCACCGACCCTCTCGCAAGTGGTAGCCCACAAGCCCACACTCTCCCTCGAGGAGTGCTCACACAAGAGCTTTAGCACTTGATCCGGCTGGACCACTTGGCGCTCTTCACACCTTGCTCTACTAGTAGTTGTTCTTTGCGAACTCTCACGGGGTGAACACGTACAATCCCCCTCAACAATACGATCTCCTCGAAGCACCGCTACACAGAGTCCACAAGCCTCCAAGTTGTCTAGAAGGTGGCAACCTCCAAGAGTAACAAGCAACACAGCTTGCAACACAACCACCTAGTAGTGCCACATCTTGCAATCTTTCAATGCAATGTACTAGACACTCGAATGCAATCACTACAAGCACTAGTGAGTTAGATGGCTCCAAGCACTCTCCAAGCAAGGACACTAAGTCCCCAAGGTGCTCAACAACTAGCCAAGGCCGGTCACCACTTGTATTTATAGCCCCAAGAGCTAACTAGCCGTTGCCCCCCTCACTGGGAAAACTATGGGGCATCGGACCATCCGATGCAACCCATCATACCATATCACACCAGTCCGATGTCCTACGCATGGTGATGTGTTAGGCTACTGTTTGAACTAGTCGCTGCTAGCGCCAACATCTAACCAAGCGTATGGGCCGATGCCCACGATCCATTGGCCATCGGACCAAAAAAACACCTCGGTCCGATGCACACCAAAGAGGTCCTAGAGCCAATGGACTAGTCTAACACCTCGCATTGGACGAAAGGCCATGGTTCGATGTAGCCTTTAAACGTTTCCCGCATGCCTCCTTTACTTGCCATGTGTCCTCCTCTAGGAATATTACTAGCACATGGTTCTACGCCACCATGAGCCTCACGGTCCGATGGTCCTCCTCATCCAAAGTGGCTAACCCTAGCTTATGGTTTGGTGGTACCCATCGGCCTAGCCTGATGGTACCTAGAGGACTCCTATGAGCCCGGTTCTCAACCCTTTTTCAAATGTGCCAACTCCAAAGTGTTCCACCACCTTGTGCATGTGAGTTAGCATTTGACAAACATTTTCAAAGTATTTTCTCTCTTCTCAACCGCTACTTGATCCTAGCAACGTATGCAATGTTAGATCACTGAAGTGGCACTAAATAACCGACATGCAAACAAGTTTTCCCCTCTTAATAGTACGGCCATCTATCCTAAACTTAGTCAAGCACATCTCTACTCAACTTTTGAACAATGAAATGAAATGTGCTACAAGTTATACCTTTGCCTTGTGCATTCTATTTCATTTGCATGATCTCCATCCTCAGTGATGCTACACAAGCATCCAACCTCTGTCAAGCCACTTGTAATCAACACAAGTGTTCCATGGCTTGATATCATGTAGATGATATGATCCACTTCATGTTATCATGTGGCCTTATTGGTTCATCAGTCGCAACTTTGCTTGTTCTTCACCATTGCACCTAGTCCATCAGCGCTAAGTCCTTGCTCTAGCTTCACTGCCATGCATTCCATCGCACCAGTTTGGCGATCCTATCTTCAAGCTGTTCTGAATGAATGCTACTTTTGATTTCGCCAATACGGCGATGTAATAATCTATGTACTTCCGCACTATTTGTACTCTGATATTATCGTTGTATGGATGTGATATTCGACTGGAATCTGGGTAATACGATCTACAGCGGTCTTATTACACTTCGACTCTGTGGATTTCCCTTCGCGGAAATCGGGGTTGTTTCAGCTGATCTGCTGCTCGGCGGCGGAGATCCAGGTGGTGCAGCAATGCTTCCCGGGAAGGCTACAGGATTTCCCGACTAAATACCTTGGAACACCTCTATCACTTTCCAGGCTAAAGCGTCAGGACGAGCAGGCCGTCGTTGACGGCGTCATGGCGCGCATCCCCACATGGAAGGCGGGGCTGCTCAATGCGGCGGGCAGGGCTACGCTGACAAAGACGACGCTATCGACAATCCCGGTCCATGTCGCTATTTGCTGCACCTTGTCAGCATGGGCAATCGCTGCCATTGACAAGTGCAGGCGATCTTTCATATGGGCAGGGAGCACTACGGTCACCGGTGGGAAATGTAAAGTCGCCTGGACTGTGGTATGTGCTCCCAGGGACCTTGGTGGCCTCGGACAGCCGGACCTCAGGATACTCGGCTATGCTCTCAGATTGAGATGGGAGTGGCTACGACGCACGCGCCCAGACTCGGCTTGGGCGTTGTTGCCGGCGACGGCGGAGCACTGCGTCACCCACATGTTCAACGCTGCCACCTCAATCATCCTGGGCGACGGAGCAACCGCAAGATTCTGGACCGATGACTGGCTCCCTGCTAGTCCAATGTCACTGGGCACCGGTTGTGTTCGCGTCTGTGCCCAGCCGACGACGTCGCCACTGCGTCCGCGACGCTCTAGCCAACAGGCAATGGACGAGAGATATCTCCGGTGCGACGTCGGCCACATTCATCACCCAATTCCTACGGGTGTGGGAAATGGTGGATGGCACCCAGCTACAGCAGGACGTCCCCGACAAGTTGGTCTGGAACCTGACGACTGATGGCGTATACTCCTCCAGTTCTTCGGCGTATCGCGCCTTCTTCCATGGACGTGTCCAAATGCTTGGGGCAGCCGAGCTCTGGGCGACGGCCACGCCACCAAAGGTCAAAAATTTCTTTTGGCTCGTTCTCCACAGGCGACTCTGGACAGTGGCGAGGAGACGACGCCATGGGCTGCAAGCAAACGACGACTGCGTGCTGTGTTCACAGGAGCCCGAAACGGCTGATTATCTGTTCGCTGCTTGTGTGTTCACCAGAGAGCTGTGGCATCGACTGCTCCAAAGGGTTGGGTTCCAGTTCCTCTGCCCAAACGGTGATGCTGATTTGGTGAACTGGTGGCTGGCATCGAGGAGGGAGATATCATCAGGGTTCAGAAAGAGATTTGATTCTTTGGTGCTGCTTATCTCATGGGAGACTTGGAAGGAGCGGAATCGGAGGACCTTCGGTGGAGCACCTTCATCAGTTGCACAGGTGCTGCAAGGGATACAACAGGAGGGAGCCGAGTGGGTCAGCGTGGGATTCCGTTCGCTTGCACCGCTGTTCGCGCCATAGGGGTTTAACCTCGCTATATATCTGCTTGTCGTAAAAGGAAGTTTACTTAGTTAGTACAAAGTAGTGGCAGCACCGTTCAAACCGGTGATTTGTGTTGTGTGTTCCTCGTACAAAACGCGGCACCTCACCGTCGTTGGGTCGAGATGTACTAAAACATCTATCTCCCATTAATAAAGCACGTGCTATGCACGATTTCAAAAAAAAAGTACATCACGCATATGAAGTTAACACTATACATATAGTACCACATATTAATACAGATTAAAAATTGAATACAATTCAGTCTCCATATACAAAGGACAAAATATCATCAATCTTTTGCTCAAGCATGAGCCTTGCCCTTTGCAGCCCTTATTTTCTTAGATGAAGACATTATAACCATCCACTTCACAGGAGCAGCCAATTTTATCCACCTGGGGAAGGAGAGCAGCTTCACCATGAAGCAGCGAACATCAGCTGGCATGTCGCTCAAATTGGCAGTGGAAAACTGAGAGATCTTATTGATGAGCAGTTCTTCGTGTGGCTCATCTGGCTCCAACATCTTCATTATCTCGTGGAGGTCACTCTCGCTGAAGCTATGTTGCAATGAGAAACCAGGACAATCAGCTGGAACGGTTAGAGAGGGAGGAAATGGGCACTGAGAAGGTCCCCCCTGCTCTGTACAGCAAACTGGATAATCTGCAAAAGGGACACTATTTAGTGTACTGCTTTCCACTTTTTTCTTTAGTGAAAAAAAGAATGATAGCATGCAATTAATTGAGTAGGGCTATTGGTCCTATTTCATTTGCTGCACTAGCTGGTTCGAGTGTCACTGAACCTGTAATACAATTTAGGTCTGAAGTTTCATGCTGTATTTCATCATCAGAATCCAGCTGCTCGGGAATGCCAAAAGATGCACCCTGTGAAAGTGTGTTTCAGTCAGTGATTTCAGAGAGATGGATCCAATAGGAGCAACCAGAAATTTAGATCCTAAAAAGGGTGCATATTGATTGTATTAAATGTTTCAAATAATGCTTAAAAAAGGAAATCAGAATGATTGCAAAGCATTTGTTGGTTACTAAATGCATTTAAAATATAATTAAAAGAACTATCAAACATTTGTTTATTCTGAATTGTGGCCATGTCTATTTCAGTCCAGGTATAAGAAATTTTCTACGATTTAATGCAGTATAAAATAATAGGGATATTACTTACAGTTTCATTGTTTTCTTGTGCACAAGGTAACGCCCTTACTCTCCTGGACCCAATCCTCTGGAGTGGAAACTGCTGGGAGCATACACCAAAAACTCGGTTCACCTCTGAAGTATCTTGTTCATCAGTTTCATGAATAATTTGACCTGGAAGGACAATAAAGATCCCTACTTTACAATAAATCAATAAGCCATCTCCGCACAAATAAAAAATATAGAGTGTAATAGATCTTGACCAGTAGGCTTAGTTGGTGACATGATTGATCCCTGGAGAGTAGTGGAGTTAATTGCTCTTGGTTGTCTATTATACATTTCATAATCATGTTGATGATAGTCCATACATTCAGATGCAACCTTACTCCACTTTTTCACTTGGTCCTGAAATGGTATAAACAAAGATATTAACACATTTCTTTCAAAGTTTCCAATATTGTTTTCTTCACATATAGATAAAGCAAAATTTCTTATCCCCAACTTCCCATTTCTTTTGGTAGTTGATATAGCTGTGAGCATCAGAAAAATACCTTCCAAATTGTATCAAGATCATCATAAACATGATACTGGTCAGCTATTGTTGCTCCTACAATCTGACCTACACAAGTGAAGTACAGCCTAATTTTCTTGTCTTCCATAATGTGAGAGTAAAGGGCTGTGCCAGGATCACACTTCTTAGCATGATTAACCACCTTTTTCCAGAATGCATCTGAGGCACTGCTGAGAATCTAGAAGCAAGAAGGTGACAATGATCATCAAGAATTCAAGATCTGACCAAGAAAAAAGATACAAACATAATTTTACTCTTACATTGCGCAGTGTTTTCTCGTCCATATAATACAGCCTCAGGAAGTGCTTCACCAAAGTAATGCCTCTCTGCTCCAATGACTTACAGAAGGGACCCTTTTTTGCAATCTTGTCCAGGCGCCATACTTCATCATCCAGTGTTGGAATATCACATTTTTTGTATCCTACAGATATAAGAAATGTTTAAACTAATCAGTAAATGTTTTGACTTCCAATAGCACAAAACTGAAGGTAAAATAGTCCAAACTCAATTTCAGGATTACCTTCCCCCTCGGCGGTCCTTCACTGTGAAAGGTTCAGTTATAGCTTCTTGAACTCTTTCACCATGATTATCAATAAGCATTACCCCAAGCCTAAACTTGCCACTCCTTGTGAACTTGGAGTTATCAACAAAAATAATGTTTTCGAGGTAGGCCTCACCATTTTTCAGTTTCAATTTCAGCTTCCCTGTAAGCACCGCCCCAATTTTGTCCCGTGGGATCATTATATGGTGTTCAAACTCCTCGGATGTCCAGCACTCACGATTGTCCGCATTGAAGTCACCATCCAGAACCAAAACCTTGACATTGGCCGAGAGAAGCTGGGGAAAGTTGCTACCTTGCTGATTGCTTACAGCCAATTTTATCATGAGGTGACCCCCACCCGCTGCCCGGACCTCCCTCTTTGTAAAATTTTTGTCGCTCATGGAATTCACGAAGGTGAGTTTGTAGGTTGGAGGCAGGTTCTGTTCAATTCTCTCTCTGCGTAGACATTGCAAGTGAGATGCAGAAGCAGATCATGAATGTAACCATGCAGGCTGCAAAAACTTGGAACGCAAAACTTACTGTGGATTAGGAGAAAGGTTCCAGGGGCTTGTAAGTACTTGTGCCACCTCTTCCATAAACTATTAAATGAAGGAGGAACAGGAAAAAAAGAAGGGAGTCAGTATTGCAGACACAGTTATGTTCATTATCTATATTAATATAGATATGTGAATACTAATTTACTTTATAATGCAATAGAAAGATGGATGATACGAAATGAAATGAAACAAAGATGGCTGTCAATTAGTGGGGGCATTATTATTATCATCAGTATTCAACCGACAACTTGAGACCCTGTCCCCAATCCTGACATTTTGGATGATTGACATGCTAAATTACAAAACACCACTTGAACAAACATTCTACTGTGACATAAAAGAAAAAGCTCAATAAATAAACCTATATATATCAGTTTTTTTTACATTACCCGGCTAATAGCAGCGTTGATTCTTGTCTTGACCGCTTGCACACAGGCACAGCCAGTGGGGAGCCCCTGTCCCTGGTGATGGCTGCAACTGCAACTACAGCCCCTAATCCCACTGCAAATTACATTTCCGGCACTCCGGCAGCAGCGAATTAGCTTTTCATTTGGGGGACCAAACGTTGGGAAAAGAACAAATACTGCAAGTGTTTGTGTCAAGATCGAAGCATGAAAGTCAACGATACTCACAGGTCGGACGGCAAGCGGTACAGCCGCTTCAGCGCCTGCGCGGAGGAGGAAGCGGCCGGCTGCGGCGGTGAGCCTCCTCCGCTGCCTGGTACGCTGCCTTCCTCTCTGTCATCGTCGCCGTCGCGGCCTCCGTCTCCGCCCTCCCACCCCCGCTTCTGTCGCTTGCGCGGCATATCAGACGAAACAATCTACTGCTTCAGCGCCGGCGCTACGCCCCTCACCTCTACGCGTCACCGTTGCGAGTGTGCTGCCTGCTGCTGCTTGCGGTGGGCCGGTGACTGGGGCGGCGGCCACTGCCCACTGCCCACGTACTTATGCCGTTATGCGCGTGCTGAGAGGAGTGTAAATTGCAGCGCTTTTCGTGTCAAATCAGCGTAAGCTAAATTTCTGCGAAAGTTCATGCACTTCGTTTAGTTCGGCAGTGGTAGGACTCTCCGTCCTGCACTCGTGTAGATAAATTAGATTAGAACTCAGCCACCTTTGTCGAGAGACAAGTCCTCTCTGTTACCAAATTATTTTGATATTTTGGTTACATAGATTTTATAATATACTTAGGACATATTTGGACACACATACACATTGTTAATCACTAGTTGGGGCTAAAAATAATGTACAGTAGTTGGCTGCAATTTCACTACATCTAGATAGATAACTAAAACAATGTATATAGAAAAGTCAAAACGTCTTATAATTTATAACAGAAATAACAAAGGGATTTGCTATATTTCAGATGCCTGAAATATAGTCTTTTTTTTTTCAGGCGACAACCATAGAACGTCACGTGTATACTATGCGAACATCACAAAATACATCATAAAACATTACATGTACATTACGCGAACATCACCACACGTCGCCTGAACAGCAAACACAAATTCAGGCGACTGTCGTATGTACGTGAACATCGCAAAATACATCCTAGAACATCACATATATACTACGTGAATATCGCAAAATTCGTCGTACAACATCGCCTGAACAACAAACACAAATTTCAGACGACTGAAGTAAGGGAAAACTGGATAACAAATGCAAACATATACGATGAAGCTGTTTCGTTGTCTTAAGACAAACTAAAAATCGTCGCGATGTAACTTCATTGCCATAGTATTTAGGATCAACTAATAGCCGTCACAAACGTACAAGCAAAGAGAAAAAACATATGAGGACGAGACAAGATGGCAAGGACGCAGAGCTAGCGCACGCCGGACAAATTTGGCGCGCGTAATCCACGCGGCTCTAACGCGAAGGCGACGAGTAGCATGGTGGCGGCCCACAGCCCACTGGACTGAACTGATCTCGGTGTGCATGCTTCGTACGTGTCCAGTTGCCATGGGATGGCGCGCCTCGAGAATCGAGGCAACATTCTGCTTTTGCTTTGGCTTCCAGGTAAAAGAAAAAGAAAGTTATAATTCTACGTGCTCGACCGTCCTAGAGAAAGTGTCGTTCTCTGTCAAGAAGTTAAATGAATATTATCAACATCGATTAAAAACTTATCATTAGATAAATCAGAAAATATATTTTCATACCGGCAGAGTCATAAATATTCCCGCGTAGCTTCGCGATAGATGCTTCAACTGCCTCTCCCATTCACACTAAGTAGCGAATTGCCGGTTGCCACGGTGTTGCCTGCGCTGCCGTGGATTCAGCCACCTCGCCAGGTACTGCAATCGGTCCAAGTCGGCACCGATAGGGTGGCCTACCTCGCCGCTCAGCTCGTGCCGACAACCCATTGGCCACCCAGCACGCACCCCTCGGTAGTCCACCGACCTCGGAGGGGACCGTGCAGGGTGCCGCGGGGTGCGCCGCCGGCATCCGTCCAAGCCGAAGACGACGTCGGCGACGCCAGGGTGAGAAGGCACCGGGCATCAACATGGGCGCGCTTGCTGGCAATGCCGACGATGCCACTGTCTAGACCGCCGCATGCTGTTTCCTCTAGCCAGGTCAGCTGGCGGAGGCGCTGTGTGAGGGCGCAGGGCCTCCCGCTTGGGTCGCCTTGGTTGACCCGATGCAGGACGAGCTTGTCGCCTCGCTCGTCGCGAGCCGGCAAGCGGTCACACCAGCGTTTGGGTGCCTGCAGGCTACGGCAACCACCTTTCAGGAGGTTCAAGCTTCGTTGGTGGAGACTCGTCGTACGGCGACGACTCCGATGGTGAGGTCTGGCCACCTGGGTTTGAGTCGGGTACTTCTACACCGGCGCAGGACGGCCATTCGGACGGCCAAGCCACACCCGACCCTTCTACGCCAACGAAGGACGGCCAAGCGGACAACGACGTGATGCCCACGCCGAGCGAGGCCGCTCGGCGCCTCGCACAGTTTACCGAGGATGTGCAGCTCAAGCGAAGGTCACCCTTAATCGTCACTCCACCAAGGCAGAAGGCGGCAACCAAAAGACCCCTGTCATCCAGGAGTAGACGGATTGCCGTTCAACTGCTGGCGCACATACCGACCTCCAAGCGTGGCGAGGTACTCCTCATGCAAAGGATGGGCACCCTGTCAGAGGCAATGTTTTCCTAAACAGTAAACGGTCTTTACATGGTCGTCCTTCGTTTAGCGTTTATGCTATTTACACGGTGTTTAAACGAAGTTAAACGGTCTAAACGGTTTTGTACTTAAAAAAATACATATAATTATATATGTGCACGTAAAAAATCAAGTATTCTAGCATTTATACATATTTATCCGAGTAAAAATCAATTATTTTGGCATGTATATATATTTATGCACGTGAAAAGAACCAAATATAGATATTTATGCATGTAACATATCAAGTGTACACATTTATAAATATAATAAACTTAAGTATACAAATTTATCCATACAAAACTGAACTAGATTTACCTTGTGTTCGCCTAAACGACCGTTTAAACAGCTGTTTAGCCCGTTTAATGCTGTTTATCTCCATTCTGTTTAGGCCGTTTAGGCCGTTTTTTCTTATTTTTTTGGCCGTTTAAACGGTCAACCATTTAATTTCCGTTTACCCCGTAAACAAAACAGTTTACCACCGTTTACCGTTTACTGGCCGTTTAAACGGCTGTTTAATCTGTTTAGGCGAACACTGGTCAGAGGTGATACCAACTTCATCCGCGTCCAAGCGAGCATACGACGCCATCTTCATAGGGAACTTGACGTCGAGCCAAGTTGCAGCTCTGGACAAGTTGTTTCCAGCGACCAACAATAGGGCTGGTAGAAGAGCCGCTCGTACACCGGCGTGCTCTTCTCGCATGACGGAGTAGGAGCGCGTAGACTACAACTCGGTTGTGTACCATTTATGTAATATCGAAATTTGAATTTATACACTAGGATGGTCAAGTAGACCTCCTAGGGCGCTCGTCAGAGTGCGTCGTTTGTATGGTTAAACTCTTCTTCTTAATTAGAATGATACACAAATTTTTTGCGTATTCGAGAAAAAAATCCAGTCATAAATATTAATAATATTTTTTATAAACTTAGTCAATCTTGAACAAATTTGATTCAATGTAAACCCGAAATTGTATATTTTTTGGACAATGTTAGTAATACATTCTACATCAAGTTATATAAGTTTGGTTAAATTTGAAATTGATTGACGTATTAGAAAACGACAATTGCACATGTCAGTAAACTAGTAGTTATCAAAGACAATTATATCCAATTAAACTGATGGCCAGATGTTTGAGAATTTCTAGAATTCTTTTTCATAACTCGTCTT